GTAGTGTCTATAGTCCAGCTGTAGTGTCTATAGTCCAGGTGTAGTGTATATATTCCAGGTGTAGTGTATATATTCCAGCTGTAGTGTCTATAGTCCAGCTCTAGTGTCTATAGTCCAGCTCTAGTGTCTATAGTCCAGGTGTAGTGTCTATATTCCAGGTGTCGTTTTTGTTGTTCAGGTGTAGTTTTTGTTGTCCAAGTGTAGTTTCTGTTGTCCAGGTGTAGTTTCTATAGTCCAGGTGTAGTTTCTATAGTCCAGGTGTAGTGTCTATAGTCCAGGTGTAGTGTATATAGCAGCATAACTAAGATATAGCTCAGGAAACCCAAGCTGACCCTAACTATAGGATTATCATATAAGAAAGTCATAAGCCTAGTTTTAAAAGATGACGATGTGACAGCCTCATGGACAGAAACTGGAAGTAGATTCCACAAGCGAAGAGCCTGATAACTGGAAGCTCTGCCTTCCAGTTTAGAAACTTTAGGAACCACAAGTAAACCTGCAGTTGGTGATCAATGTAGGAAAATAAGGAACATTGAGGTCTTTAGTAAAAGATGGAGTGTGGTTGTTGAGATTTTTGTCAGAGTCAGAGATTCTTTATTGTCATTCGCACCTCGTGTGGTACATGTGGTGGAGCGAAATTATGAACACAGGGTCCCAGTTACATCCAACAATAAAATGTAAAAGAAAAACAGTAATAACATCTAAGATGTGAACTAAGAAAAACATCAACTAAATATACACCAAGCACTCATAACATAACATAAAACATTGAACATCAGCACAAACATGAACATGAGTCTGTGTGAGCAGATGAGCACGCATGAACACATCAACATTGAAACAGATCAGCAGCAACATGAAACAGATCAGCAGCAATGTGATGTGATTTTTCACAGTGATTATTCTAGTTATAGATTCATGAGTCTTACAGCCTCAGGGTAGAAGCTGTTCTTCAGTCTAGTGGTTCTACACTTAATGCTCCTCAACCTCCTTCCTGAGGGGAGTGGGGCAAAAATGTGTGTGCTGGGTGAGTGAGGTCCTTCATGATGCAGGTAGCCCTCTTCCTGCATCTGGAGGTGTAGATGTCTGTGATGGTGGGGAGGCTGACTCTGACAGTCTTCTGTGCAGCCTTCACCACTCTCTGCAAAGCTTTTCTTTCTGCAGCTGTGCAGCCTCCATGCCACACGTTGATGCTGGAGCACAGGATGCTCTCCACTGCACACCTGTAGAAGGAGGTGAGGACTGAGCTTCCCAGTCCAGCTCGTCTCAGCCGTCTGAGGAAGTAGAGTCTCTGATGAGCTTTCTTGATCAGGCTGGTGGTGTTGTTGCTCCAGCTGAGGTTGTCATTCATGTGTACACCCAAGTACTTGTAGCTGGAGACCACTTCCACCGCAGATCCTCTTATGTTCAGGGGGGTGTAGATGTTTTTGTTCCTTCTGAAGTCCACAATCATCCCCTTTGTCTTCTTCACATTGATGTGAAGGTTATTCTCTCTGCACCAGCTCTCCAGATTTTCCACCTCTTGCCTCTAGCTGGACTCATCATTGTTTGTGATGCATCCCACCACCGCTGTATCATCTGCAAACTTTACAATGTGACAGCCTGGATGGGTAGCTGCACAATCATATGTGAGCAGAGTAAACAGGAGGGGGCTCAACACACATCCCTGAGGAGAGCCAGTGCTGAGGGTTATGGTAGAGGAGGAGAAGTTGTGGATCCTCACTGACTGTGGTCTGTTTGTTAAGAAGTCTAGTACCCAGTTGCAAATGGAGGGGCTTAGTCCTAGTGTGGATAGTTTGTCCATCAGGGTTTGGGGGATCATGGTGTTGAAGGCGGATGTGAAGTCCACAAAGAGCATACGGACGTAAGAGTTTTTCTGCTCCAGGTGGTTGAGCGCAGTGTGGACCACAGAGGAGATGGCATCCTCTGTTGATCGGTTCTCATGGTATGCATACTGATGAGGGTCCTCGTTGATGTTGATGGTTGTTTTGATGTGAGTCATGACCAGTTTTTCGAAGCATTTAGCGACTATCGGGGTGAGGGCCACTGGAGGATAGTCATTCAGACCAGTCACTGAAGAGCTTTTTGGGACTGGGATGATGGTGGCAGTCTTCAGGCAGGTGGGAACTGTCTCCAGGGTAAGTGAGGTGTTAAAGATGTCTGCCAGCACCTCGCAGAGCTGATCGGCACATTCCTTCAACACTTTTCCGGGGATGTTGTTTGTATGTTACAAGTAATATTTTAAGTTCTACTCTGGAGGAATCTCTCCTTCAAACTCTCATCAGGACTCTGGCAGCAGCTATTTGCATCAAATGAAGACTTTTTAGAGTTTCTTTGGACACTCGGATAATAAAGAATTACAATAGTCCAGTCCAGAGGTGATGCATGCATGGATCAGATTGTCTGCATCAAAAAAGTGAAAAAGCAAATAAATTAGTATTCAACCTAATTAAATAGGGTATGTAGGCATTAAGTTCTTTATATACAGTACTTCTCCCCAAAGATAACACAGTTTGAACACACAGCCTTTTATCACCAACAAGTTATTAGCTAGAAACTTAACAAACAATTCTTGATGAACAGAAGGACAGTGGTCTCTCATGTTCTGTCAGGTTCTTGATTTTTCCTTCTCCTCAAACACATGACTTTCAGAAACCGTTTATATGCTGGGGATTTATTAGTTTTTTTTAAGTCTGACTGTCTTTTTCATCCATTTGGCTATTTTTTTTTCTTTTGTTTTGAGGAAATAACTGAGGAGATAATGAGTGAAAGAGCAGACTTACTCTCCACTCCAAAACTTTAAAGACCTCTGGAAAGTCTACCAAGAATATTGATCTAGACCGCTTTCAAAGATGATTAAAAATATCGGGCTCCTTGAAAGAAATCAAAGAAATATTAGGGTGTGTTACACTTTTGCACAGTACTCCTCCATATCACTTGAATACTTTTAAATGTTTGTATGTACTTTGTTTAATATACCAGCCTGATAAATTGAGCTTTAGGTGATTAAATGTCTTTAAGAAAAGGCAAATATTTAAACATTTATTGAACTAACTGATCACTGTCTAAACAATCTCTACCCTAAATATGCAGTCGTGACATTTTTCCATGAAAGTACCACAGAAATATTTGAAAATTTTGTTTCCCGGATGGTGTGGACCACAAATCAAAGTTAATTACGAGAGGTCCTCGTCTATAAAAAAACAAACTTGTTTTTGAACTGAAAAGTCTGAAGTCAGAAACATATTTTAATAATTTATTGTGCACAACATAGAGATCCAATAATGCTCAGTTGGGTCATCTGGACAGTTTCTTTTTTTTTTTTTCTCTAGTAGACCAACTAGCTTGCTAGATAGAGATGAGATGGTTTCTGGTTGGGTTTGCTGCTTTGTTGGGAAACGGTTTACTTGGAGCTCCTCAGACTGATGAAGCCCTCTGGATAGAGGGAGAAACGTCTCTTGAGAAAAAAAAAAAAAAAAAGAAACTGTCCAGATGACCCGACTGAGCATTATTGGATTTGGTACCTGGATGATTGAGCATGAACTTTGTTACAAAATATAGATGCTTCTTTTTGTGTCGGTTTGTTAGCAAAATATCTCATTAACCACTAGATGGATTTCATTAGGTTTTGGAGTCAACCCATTTCAAGATGGCTGCCACCGCTAGTTGACCTTAGCGAACACAAATCCTGCTGTAACTCAGTCAACTGTACAGAGGTTGAGAAAACCTTGAGTGTAGTAGTAGCCAAGAATCCTCCCCATCATGTACTTTGAGGGCTTCAAGAGATCGTTGCTGAAAACCCGTGCGTGCTGAGCTGCAGGTGATCTCTCCTTTAAGGAATGCCAGCTTCGTTTTTTTACTAATTTGTTGTTCTCAGTGGATGTTTCTTCCTGTACATCAACAAACCCCGGCTGTTCTCGCCCTTCTCCCTCCTGCACCGTGTGGAACATCCTCTGCTGCTTTTCTTGGCGCTCCAACTGGCTGTGGCCCAGTTACCCTTCAGCCGGTAAATAC